TTTTTTTTTTCTTTTTCTGGTCCCAGTTGTTTGGAACCTCTCACGTTCGCTTCTTGCGGGAGTCTTTTTTTTGTTTTTGCGTGCCACTCGCTCTCTTTTACTCCCCACAGAGCGACCTTTTTTTTTTTTTTCTTCTTCCTTGAAATGCTTCAACGAGAAAAGTTAACACCATGTCAGACGCCGCATTGGCAATATGTGGTGTTTTGGGTGGCTGCCAGGCAAATGTATTTTTACTAGAACTTATTATAGTGAGAAGCCCCAACACTTTGTATGCCATGACGTTTGTCCAGTACGTAGTTGTTTCACTTCTTTCTATTTTTCTTGTGTCCAACTTTTTTGACTCCTCGCGTGGTGGAGGCTGGTTACACATACGTTTACGACCAATGCGAATACTGACATCACACAAACTCATTCTTGCATCCTCCTCCTGGCTCATGTCTGTGAGCAGCAACTTGGTATTTGGATTATACATCTCTGTGCCTCTTCACGCAACGTTTAGGTCATCGTCACTTTTGCTGAATATGTTGGCCGGCTACTTTTTCTTGGAGAAACGCTACACACGCCCACAGGTGCTCTGTGCCACAGCTATATCGGGTGGCCTTATTGCTCTTGCAATGGAGAAGTCGCGAAAGGTTCAGAACTTTAATGCTGAGAATAGTATGAAGACATCTGAAGGGAATCTTTGGTGGTTTTTAGGACTCACAGTTCTCGCTTGCACTACTGCCTTTTCCACGGGTCTTGGGATATTTCAAGAGTACATGTATGCAGCGGCACGTCGTCAAGAAGAAGAAACAAAAAAGAGAGATGAGTCGGTTCAATCATCATTATCACCGCCGCCAATGTGGGCAGAAGCTCTTTTTTTTTCCCATATCATTTCTATACCTCTGTTTTTCCTGCAACCCGGGCGACTTTTCCGAGAATTTGCCTCTATTTCTTCAGATAGTTACATACACTTTGCACTGAATGCCCTTACGCAATATGTTTGTATAACTGGAGTTTATATTTTAAATGACAAAACCTCTGCTTTTACATTAATTTTGACGCTGACTCTGCGTAAATTATGTACATTTTCCTTGTCAGTTGCTTACTTTGGTCATTATCGCCATTTTACTACGATGGAGTGGGTGGCAATGGTGACGGCGCTGGCAGCAGGTGCACTATATCCTTTGTTGCCAAAGGCTCACCCGCCGTCAAATCTTTGTGTGACGCCTACTGAAAAAGGGAGTAAGGAGCGTTAATAAACGCTTCTTTTTTTTTTTAAACTTTGCGTCTTACAACGAGAGGAAATAAAAACTTATATCAGAAAAAAAAAAAAAAATGGGTCCTTTTTAAAGGGGCTTATGCCTTTTAAGAATTTCATTATTTTCTTTATCCTCTTTCTTGCAATTGGAGTGCCAGCTGAAAATCATGTACATTGCATTTCCAGCATCACTGTTTTTACCTATTTTTCCAATAATACTTTATAACCAAAGCCATGCTCGGGAACAAGAGGGGGGTGTAGAGGGATGAGGAGAAGGTCTGCAATTCACTTTGGCGCACTTTTAACACATTCATACGTATAGACGATGGCGATGGAACGCATTCTGACTTTGATTGTGGAATGAGGCGAAATTTCTGTTCCTCTGAAATGCCCTCTTTAAACCGTCTTCCTGCACTGAAAATTTTTTCCTAAAGGAACCAGCATGTGAGCGGTTTGTACTTTGTTTTACTTTATAATTTGCTGTAGACGCGTCGTTAGACAGCTGCATGACAGGAAAACAACTCGCTCTTGGAAGGTGCATGGGGAAAGGACGGGCCGCAGGCGCCCCTTGAGTTACTTTCGCTACTAGAGGCGAGAAATATTATTCTATTTTATTTTATTTTTTTGGACGTGTTTTTTTTTTTTTTTTTTAATGCTTGAACAGAAGAAGGAGGCATTGGCAATGCATTACGTGTTCTGCGAACGTGTATTTTTCAATTGTTTGACAAAAGTTATGAAAAAAGGACACATTTACTTTTGCTGAAGGAGAGGCATGCTGTCGCTCCGTTTCTCTCAACGTTATGTTTTGCGGAGGACGCCGTGGAGTGTGGGGCTCTGAATTCACAGTGCAAGCGGGTAGCTGCTCGAGGCAAAAAAAAAAAAAAAAGGAAAACAAAAATGACCGGAATGGTTGGGGATGAAAATATAATTTGTTTGTGACGTAGAAAATATATATTTGATTGTGACAGAAGAAAGAATAATTAGTAAAGACATGAGTGGGGTTGGGGAGGTGGCGGCAATAAGTGTAACAACATATCTGATACCGATAGTTTGAGAGCTTATTCACGGCAAGGCGAAGATGGCAGCGATGGGAATGCAAGGCAGAGGCAACAGCAGAAAAGAAAGTGTATGAATGGTTGCTGCTCGTATCCCACCAAGCCATAGAATTGTGCGCGGGCAAAAGAATTTGTTGTGTACATTTGGTAATATGAATGGAGCGTGAAGTGCATTGCTCTTATTATTGTTTTTTCTATATTCTCTCTGTGAGTTAAGGCGGTTCAAGTCAAAGCGAAGGGGTGAAACATTACTACAAAAAAAAAAAAAAATATAGCGTTCTTTTTATGTTGTTGCTTGATACTACCGCAGAGTCTCTTTTGCGAGACCCGCAGTACTTGCTGCGACTATATCACAAGGTCATTCAGTATCTTGTGAAATGTGACCCTTCTTCATTTGCGCGCTCTCTTTCCTCGTCATTTAATCAGATTGACACAAGATATCGTGTGCGCTCTCGTGAGCAGGCAATTGAAATATGGCCCTTGAAAGGCATCCTACGTCAGATTCTGCCAGTGAGCGTTATGAGCGATAGAGAACTCTCAATCATTCTTGCGATGTTACCGCTTGAGGACTATGGGGGAAATGGCACGGGGAACGGAGGTGATGATGTTTTAGTTAGCCCTGTGGCGTTGTTGTTATGCCTGCGGAAAATGTGTCCTGTGCAAGCTTCTTTAGTGTTAGAAATGCTCCGAAGGATTGACACTAGGCCTAAACGACCCCACCCGTATGAATCAGCTTGTGGTAAGGCACTCTTAATATCCGCACGAGATGGTAGAGGAGATGCTTGTGTTCTTGAGAGAGCTGCGATTCTTGATTACCTGACTGAATCCTATGATATGACACTTTCCGAGGCCTTTTTTCTAACTGACCATTGTTCTATGGGACTCCCTCCGTCTTCCTCCACAGTAGCTATTGATGGTTCCTACCTTTACGCGTTTCTGTATCAAAGGCCGTTGCCTTCGGATGTGAAATATCCATTGCTGATGTCCGTCTTTGCTGAGGCGATTTGTGATCCGAATAGAGGTGCACCTTTGGGTACGCTTGCCCTTATTGAGGGACTGCATCGTTTTTCGCCAAAAACAAATCATGGCATGCATCGTGAGGAAGTTTTTGACGTTAATATCGATACTGGAGGAGAGCTGGAGCATTATTCTCTGACACGCAAGTCTTTTGAGGATTTATGTAGGTATTTGCGTGTTGGTCTGTTGTTAGAGGAAGTGCATCAGCTATTCTATTATTTACGAGGAGAAAGTTCTGAAGAACTTCTCTCTGCTCACACACTCCTTTGTGAATTTAAGCGACATTTTGTGCCTGTGAGTGAATCTCTGTTTCAAATTGTTGAAGAGGCAGTACGGCGCTATTTGGTGAAATCTGGTGGTATGTTGGCCCTTCCACGTTTACATCTTGCGCTTCATGGTGGCCCACTTTCTGTCGCAAGGTTCATTGATGTGCTTCGTGTGGCGGGTGTTCCGGAGGCCGTGAGTGACGTTGAACTTGAGTGGCTGCGGTTCAAGGGATGGGATCGAGAACGTCTGGTGTCGCTGCTTTCTGGTAGATTTCCAGCAAACCGGGAGGCTCTTGTCCGGCAACTTTTTGATCAACTTAAAAATGTGAAGGGTCTTACAGTGAAACAGGGCCACGTTGAAGTGGAGCGTGTGTTGGCATTGTTTCACCCTGAGAAGGTAGAAGGTACTCTCATCGGTAGCAGTGACGATTGGCGTTTTGTGATGAAGCAGTGTTTTGATGGAAATGTATCTAAAACTTTGACGTATGATCAGTTTTTTTATTTCTGGCGTGCTGTTTCTGCGGCCTGCAGCGACGACTCTGTGTTCACGATGATTCTCTGGCGTTCTTTCAACATGCATACGAGCCGCTGACCCCTCCCCAATGCTGGTTTCTTTCAGCGGACGATAGGTTGGCAGTTGTCAGTGTTTTTTTTTTTTTTTTTTTTTGTATATATATATTTTTTGTTGTTGCTATCTCGATGGAAGAAATTTTTTTGTATTGTTGAGTCTTTTTTCTTAATTGTGTGTGTGTGTGTTTGTGTGTGTGTTTCTGTGTTGATTCTTAATTTATGTTATCTTTTGTAAAGGTAACACCTTTTAATTTTGAAGGAAGTAGTTTTTTTTTTTTTTTTTTTTTTTTTCTCTCTTCTACTTCTTTTTACCGCAAATTTGGGGATAATGTGTGAGCTTTTGCTTACCCTTTCAGTTGCTTTTTACTTTAATTAGGAACGCTATGCATGAAAACGATATGCTAGAGACCATTGCTCTTGTACCCGTCGGCCTCGCGCTGTGGGCTCTCGGCAAAAGACAGGCCAAACAGCAGGAACTCATTAGTAGACTCCAGACAACCATAGGCAAACAAAGAGAAGAGTTGGACCGACTTCTGCAGACAGAAAGTGCAACGGGTTCTGCGCGTTTGGTGACGTATTCCATATTGGTGGCGCTGGGGGTATATGGCTCTTTTCTTCTCACAAAATGTGTCTCGTTGACATCCTTGCATAGGGGCTGCGATTTGCCGCCGACAGAGTACACACCAACTACTGCACGACATGAGGGAGAGGAGTGCGTTGTGTGCATGCTTCATAGGCGGGACACATTGTTTGATCCATGTCGTCACTTGTGTGTATGCTGGCTGTGCTCGCGGAATATGCAATCTTGCCCGGTTTGTCGGCGGGATATTTTGAGACGTCAATTTGCGTTTATTTCTTGAGTTAATCATCACCAGGTTTCTGTCGATGTGTTGCTTTTTTTTTTTTTTTTTTTTTTTTGACTGTGTCTTTTCTCTGTGTTTTGTCGCTCATTCTTATTATGCCACGATGTTGTTTTTGTTGTTGTGCATCGATTTTGTTATTGTTTTTTCGGAATATATTTTATTTTATTTATTTTTTACGGTTTGAACCTGCCGTACATTTTTTTACCCCCTTCTTTCTTTTTTTCTTCCTTTATTTTTATTATTAATTATTATTTATGGCTATACGCTGCCTTTAGTGGTTTTGGACACATCCTCCAATAGAGTGGAATACATACAAACAACAGCAACAACAAGGAAAGGAAGAATAAAATTGAGCATTTACGTTTTGCGCATGCTTTTTTTTACTCTTATCGTCCGCCAGCGAGATGCGCTGGCACTGGCGGCGGATACGGATACGTCTAGTGCAGAACTGGAGCAATGCAAGGTGGCGGCAAAAACACTTCTCCGAAAGTTGGCTGCGGAGTACACTAATCCATCATTGTGCGTTCCGCCACTCCTTACTATTGTGTGGAAGAATTATGTGTTCCACATTCTTTCCGAATCGGCTGTGTCATTTCTTACAATGTGTGACACAGCTATGCCAGCCGGTATTGCTGTGGCTTTTTTAGAGGATGTGGCTCGGGAGTTCCTGCAGCAGTATGGATCTCAGGTGGAGGCGGTGACGCGACCGTACTGTTTTATCAAATTTGATTTATACCTCCAGCGCACAAAGAAAGTATTTGCAACCGCGAACTCCTCCCGTAGCATGAACGTGTCGCGTGTTGGAAGAACAGCACCTGTACGACGCACCTTTGAAGATGTCATGGCGGGCATTGATTCAAAAACAGGCTCCTCCATGTCTTCCAGGGGAGGAGGGGTGCGTGATACTGAAAAGACGTGGCGATTTCTCATTATTTGTTTTATCGCTGCTGTAACTTTACTTGTGTTTTGTGGCATATTTTACTATGCCGCTTTGGCATAGCAACGTTTTGGTCAAGTATGCTTCATGGTTTGTTCGGTTTTTTCCTTTTGAAGGATCCACAAGATGCAACATTTCAATGATAATTTTCATTGGGGGCGGAGGGGGTGCTGAATGTGCTGCCGATGCATGGTTCATTCTTATCTGTTTTTCATTTTCCTCCCCTTCCCTTCCCCTTTTCTGTCCGAGGCTGATAATATTGTGGCCTTTTTACTACCACCTTCAGTCCACACCCAGCCACTCAAAGGTGCATTTTGTTGATTGACCACGCACGTCAACACCTGTCTTTCCATCTTCAGTCTTTGGCTTCACTATCCATACCCACAGACGTGTAGCCATTTGTGTGTATAAAATGTTTCTTTTAAGGGAATTGGAAACCCATTAAAAAGACTTTATTTTTATTTTTTCCTCCTTATTTATTTGTTTATTTTTTAAAGGCACTTTTCGTTTTTTCAATATACACATTAAAAAGAAGTGAGGCTTCTGGATGGGACGAAGAGTCCAACTCGTCATCCGTCTCCGTCCAGGGGAGGGCGGAGCCTCATGCGTCAGTGTTGGTGTGAATAAAAAGGAAATTACGGTGGTGGATCTGTCAGGAACACATGCGAGCAGCACCCCTCGAGAATTTCATGTTGATCAAGTCGTTCAAGAAGATTGCGGCAATGAAGAGCTGTTTCGTAGTCTTGTACTTGGACGCATTCGTTCCTCGGCTGATGAACCTGACACCTCATGTTTTCTGGCATATGGGCATACCAGCAGCGGTAAAACTCACTCAATTGCTGGAACAGATAAAGAACCGGGGTTATTGACACTTTCCGCCGAGGCGTTACTGCACACGTACGGTGTGGCTGAGGTTGCAATGCTAGAAGTGTATGGAGAAAGTGTACACGACCTTCTAGCCCAAGGTGAGCGACGCATGATTCGGCGTCGCGCAGGCCCTGACGGAACGGTAATAATGGTAGAAAATTTGACATCTTGCTCCCTAACGTCGATGGAGGAATGGAAGGCGCTCTCGGAATTTGGGATGCTGGCAAGGCGAACGGCGCCAACGGAGCGTAATTCTCGCAGTAGTCGTAGTCATGCGATATTTACTATTAAAACCAGGGGTATGCGTCTATGCTTAGTAGATCTTGCGGGAAGTGAGAGACAGACCACATACTCACCACAACTGAATAAGGAAAGTATTGCCATTAACAAGTCCTTGTCGCGTCTTAGTACGGTGTTGGAGGCTCTTAGCTCAGCAAGAATGAAATCAGACGGTAGCACATCGTACGTGAACTTTCGCGATACCACACTGACTGTGCTTCTTCAACGATATCTTTCCGGTGCTTCTATGACGGTATTTCTTGCATGTATTCATCCCGATACAGCGTTTTACTACGAAACAATGAGCACTATGCGATACACACAGCGTCTAAAGTGTATCAATACTAAAAATGCTCCAAAGAAGCCAAACGAGGATATGAGTTTGTTTCAATTAGGAGAAAATCAAAAATTGTTGGAGGAGTTAATGATTTTGAGAAGAATTGTGGGAAGGCAACATGAACAACGGGAAGAATATCATTATTACAATGATGAATTTCGAAAAGTTAGTGAAGAAACTGTGATTGGCCGATTACCGAAGGATCATTGCTCAGATTCTTTATTTCAGAACCATGAATCTGCTCTGCAAGAAAGCTCTCCCATGATTTCCGCGTCTATTGTGGGGCATCGGCAGCGCCTACTGCGTTATAAAGATGCAATGCGCGTGGCTGGTTGGCTTCTTAGTCGGATTCTCAGTGAACTTCCAGAGCTTTCTGTGGGGTTTGATGATTATTTTGACACTTATTTGCCTTCTCAAGTGCAAGTGGTTGGTTATATTTCTTTGATGACATGTATGGCGCCCCGTGATGTCAACGAAGCAATGGGCGGTTTGGCGTTTCTAGACGTTGGGGACATTGCTATGGGTTTATCTATGCTTGATGCTGGGATTCCGGCATGTGTCGGTCTCCACCGATTGACTTGTGGCGAGAGCAACACGTGGGAGGCGCATGAGTACGATGGAGTCAATAGGGTTTTTGTTTTGGCATTTTTTGAGATAAATGAGCACCTGGTGGAGATAATGGGTGATACTCATGACGCCTTTGAATGCTGTGGTGGCCTTTTAACCCTTGAACCCTTAGTGCCCTTGGCGATAGTGTTGTGCACTCCACTGGATTCATCGGACGAACTGAAGGAAAATGTTTTGCAACACCTGGTTACACTTCAAGGTGAGCAGGATGGGGCACTTGAGAGTTCCATTGGTGGATCATCTTCGCTATCGCAGCTCACCCCAATGCATACTGGCATCGACGGCGCTATGGAAAATCCTAAATTAAGTTTATTGAAAGCCATGACGCAGTGGCGTGATGATTACGTTAAAGAGGTTACTTCTTCGAGTGATACTGAAAGTTTCTCAGCGGCGCCACTTGCAGAAGAGATTGAGCGACAAACGTTGAATAAACTGCAGGTTTGCTCACCGTTCCAGGAGTCAGCGTCTGTGAATTCAGGGGAGGCGTTCTCCAACGAAAAAACGACAATAATTCATCTAGACCATAAATTACATGCGATTTATGCTTCATCATCGTCTTTTTCATCCGAATCATCGTCGGATTCCTCTGTAATTTTAGGGTCGAAGCTCTCCTTGCTTTCTCCGGCAGTTGCAGATGAAGGCCAATGTCAAGAAATTTCGAGGACCCATATGTCTTCAGAGTGCCCCAGCGAAACTGAATGCGATGCTGAAAAGGGTGTGGGTATGCCACAAAGCATTGATAGAGAGGTTCATGGCGCGAATCAAGTTGGCGTTTCCGTTTCCCCTGCTGACGTGCACGTGGATATGTACAATAGGCCTTATCTGCCACACGCGCCGCAAACAAATTGCTACTCTATTGAAGAGTTTCCAGCATATGCTGTTATTGCTCGAGAGCGGAGCAAAAGTGATAAAAAGGACGACTGCGCAGAATGTTCTGCTACTGCATCGGTGTCTCCTCCAGAAAAGGAGAGGATATATGAGAAAAATGAAAAGAAAAAGAAAAAGAAAAATTTGCATAGAAAGCGGAAACCTGTGCTTCAGGGGTGCCACAACTGCGTGGTTTTATAGAAAAAGATATATAGATGTAGGGGGAGTTGGAAAAAGACAAGTAAAACATGGCACAATTATTGTGTTGACTGCCTTTTTTTTTTTTTTTTTTTTTTTTGCTGACGAGTGCTAAAATTTTTGGCATCTATTTATTTATTAATTTTTCTTAAATTATTATTTTTTTACTGTTGTTAATTTGCATTTTTGTATGGTTTACTTTTGAACGCGAATTATTTTCTGAACTTTCATTTCATTACGGTCTTTAGCTTCAACTTTATTTTGTTATTATCTTGTTTGAGTCATTTTAGGTGAGTGAAGGGCGTGGTTGGTGTCTCGTGTGGGATAAGTTCTTTCTTGCCACCATAAACTGCCGCTGCCATTGAGTTGGATAGCAAGCGGAGTAAGTCTTGTGGGCGTCAAATCAGGTCGGTCGAGGGAATAAGGGAGGAGGCGGAGGGCTGCAGAAGGAGGAAGTCAGGGAGTGAAGAAGATATATTTGACTCTACACACGCACACAAGAAAGGAGGAAGCACATGACAACGAAAGATAAGAAGTCTTTTAAGAAATATGCTAAGAAACATTTGGCAACGGTGATTGAGAACCGCCGTAAGAGCGCGAAAGCCAAGAAGGAAAAATTGGAGCGTGTTGAGCGGAAAAAAATGCGTGAAGTCAAAGAAGTTCAGCGTGAGGAGCGTGAACATCAAGAGCAATTAGATCATTTAAACGAAATCGATCCGGAGTTTTATTCTTACCTGGAGGAGGAGGACCCGACACTCCTGCAGTTTGGCGAGGAAGACGTGGAGGTTGTGGATGACGGCGTGGGCAGCGATGCCGAGACTGAGGTGGATGGTGAGGATGAGGACAATAAAGACGACGACGAATATAAGGCGAGAGACTCTTATGTTGAGAAGAGTGCGAAGTGCTTCTCCGCATCTCGCATTACTCGAAAAGAAATTGAACATCTCGTCAAGGGGAGAAACATTGAGGCATGCGTTGATATTTTTGTGAGTGCCGTGCGGGAGTTGGGTTATAACGTTAAGGAGAATCCGAAGATAAGTTCAACTCGTAAGTTTGACGACCCGTCGTTGGTGAAAGAGTCTGTGTTTCGCATTGCACGCGCCATTGGATCAAACCTCAGCCATTTCATTACCGGGAAAGGCTCATTCAAATCATACGAGACTCGTTTTTTGATGAGGCGATTGCTTATTTCTCTTGTGACAATTGTGTCAGAGGGAGGGAACGTGGACGCCGTACTAACAGCTGGTTTACTTCACGCCTTAACACCCTTTGTGCCCATTTTACATTACATAAAAGGTATTACGAAGTCTGTTTTGAGAGCATCACTTTCACTGTGCTCAGCCTCAGAGGAATCGGTACGTATAGCAGCCTACGTTGTTGTTCGAGCGGTTGCAACACGTGCTACGGGGACAAGATCCATGTATCAGTCTGCCGCCTTTAAGGGTATATTTCTTACTCTTGTGAAGAAAGCATATCACTATAACATCCACAATGCGTCATTGATAGCCTTCCTTATAAACTGCGTTGTTGATTTGTATGGTACTGACATGGAGGCTGCATACCAACACACATTTGTTTATCTTCGTCAATTGGCGATTTACCTTCGTTCTGCACTACATCAGCAAACTCAGAGTAACGTAAGAGCTGTGGTAAACTGGCAATATCTGAACGCATTACGTACTTGGGGCGCCGTCGTCTCAAAGTATTCCGAGCCGTCACAACTAGGTCCACTTATTCATCCTATTGTTCAAATTGCACTTGGACTAATGGATCTTTTTTCATCCCCTCGCATGTTTCCTATGCATCTACAGGTCATAGAGGTTCTTAATCATATTTCTCTTCGTGCCGATGGGGTTTTTATTCCTGTGGCTCCGTACCTTTTGCGCATGCTGACTTCACCGAGTATTGCTTTGAATCGTCCTACCCAAGGAGAAGGAGAAAAATTTGAACGTGTGGACTTGCAGTTTACAATCCGTATGAAAAAGGCACAGTCGCGTAGTTCAAGTTATCATCAAAATATTTGTTTTGAGTGCCTTTATCTCCTTACAGAGCATTTGGCAACGCATAGCCACACTCTTGGTTTTCCAGAGGCTTTCTGGGTTGTGGAAACGACTCTTAAACGGTTGCGTAGCGAGGTGAAAATACCGAAGATTCACTCACAATTGACCATTCTTCTTCGTCACATGCAAACAACAACTCAACGCATTATAGCACGACGCGATCAGGCGGGCAATGGTCCATGCGACCTGGCAGCGGTGAAGCAGCTGGAGGATGAATTAAAAGCTGCTGGAAATCCGTTGTCGACATATCATCAAATGCTTCGCCAGCAACGAGTTGAATCATTTGCCACGAAACAGAAGAATGCAAATGGAGGGGAGCGCACGACGTTAGAGGCGATGATGGAGGGAGGGAGAGAGAGAAAAAGCCGTAAACGTTCGGTACGTGCTTTTGATGTTTAAGAGGGAACCGCAATCAAGTTAAAGAACGGAAAAAAAAAAAAAAAAGAAAAAAAACAAGTAATTAGTAACTGTATTCCGAAGAAAAAAGGGTAACGCATTCATCTATTTTCTATACATCTGGGGAAACGAATTTCTACAAGAGAGTGAGTGTGGGAGAGAATGAGGAGAGTTGATTTAACATTTCGTATAAAAAGACCGGGAACTGTGATTAGGCGGTACTAAAGATCAGATGTTGTTTTTCATATATATTTATGAATACTGCGCAAACACGTGTGTGTGTGTGTGCGTGTGTATTTTTTGTTTTGCAGAATGCTTTTTTTTTTTTGCGATTTTTATTTTATTTGACCCCCATTTTCTATTTGCATTTATTTTTGTTTTTGTGATTAGATTTTTTACCTCTAGCGTAGGAGGTGCTTTAGAAAAGTCGAATGGACTCCCTGTACAAGTGGAATGACTCCACAAAGATTGGCGTTGCCTTGACGGGCCTGGGAGCACTCTTCACTTTTTTGGGTGTCATAATGCTTTTGGATAGTGCTCTTCTGACAATGGGAAATATTCTTTTTGTTGCCGGGGTAGCTTTGGTAATGGGTCCCAAACGCTTTCAGTCGTTTTTCTTCTCCCGTCGTCGAGCTTCAGGGTGCTTTTTCTTGGGCATGTTGCTCATTATATCAGGCTTTTGTTTCATTGGTCTTTTGCTTCAAGGATTTGGTGCGCTGAACCTTTTTGGCAATTTTTTTCCGATGATAGCTCGCGTTTTAGAGTCGGTTCCACTTCTGGGCCCCATCATGCTCTCGAAGCCGGTTCAGCGTCTGCTAACTTTATTAGGTCTGCAGGACCACCGTAGCCGGAACGTTTGAGGCTGTTTGGTAAAGTGTCGTGGTAGAATTGGGATTTGCTGAAAAATATACTTGCGGGCCTGTTCGCAAAGTGGAAGACGAAGAAGAAGAAGGGGAATAACAAAGACAAAAAATAATAATGCCTCTTCCAGTAGTGTTTTTTCAAAAAAAAAAAAAAAAAACAATTTTTTTTTTCTCTTTTTTTTTTTTTTGAGGGTGTGTAAGCGCTTGGAAAGAAAAGGAGATTGAGGATAAGAGGATGGAGATTCAGCTGGGCGAAAAGGTGGCATTGCTTACGACGCATAAGACCTACCGTGATGATCTTGAAGACGGTGTGAGGGCTGTGGCACGTTATTTGCCTTTTTGTAAGTATGTGGCTACCTGCGCAGAGCACGGTCCCGTGCCTTCTACCTTCATTATCCGTAGTATTAGACGAGTTGCTCAGCGCATTGTGGGGTTGATTATGGATGTGGAATGTGTTACACGCAGTGGAAAAATTGTTCAAACGGTAGATATTTGTGACTCCAATCCTGTTATTATTTTTCCTGTTGCCACCGTGAATGGTATTCGGTACGCTATACTTGTCAGAAAACGTCAGGTTTCCGTCGGTTGCAATTTTATTGTGGAGGCTTTATGTGGCGTTGAAAACAATGACGGGAGCTTCACGATACCGAATGATGAATTGCTTATACCGTTAGGTGTTGACCTTCAAAAAACGCATGCACTCAGCTCAAAACGGTACACAATAGGGAATGAAGGGACTACGCCATACAAGGTGTATTCTGTCACTCTGGAAATGACGCCTGAGACTCTTCAGAAACTTCAGAATACATCAAAGGATTTAGAGAATGCATTGATTGCGCTGCCATTGGATGAGGTGTTATCCACGGTAGGTGATGTTAAGGCGAGCTTGGCGGCGTCATTGCTGTTGGTTTCATGAGTCATTACAGACTGTCTTTGTTTCTTGCCTGCTCGTTTATTTATCAGCCCGAGTATATGTAAATGTGTCGTTTTAAAACGCGTACCCACACAAGAAAGGCAAAAAAAAAAAACAAAAAAAAAGAAGAAAAAAAAAAAAACGGAATGCGTCATTGGGCAAATTTTGCTTTGCCTATGTACATAAATGTTGTATTAATTTTGTGTGGTGGAGAAAAGCGTTTTATCTGAATTGTTATTATTATTATTATTATTTTGTCTGTGTATGTGAGTGGAGGAAAGGATTGCTCCATTTATTGGACTTTCTATGTATACTCCTTTTTTCTTTACTCCTGTAAATATTCCAAAATAATAACAATACTACTACTACTACTACTAATAATAATAATAATAATAATAATAATAATAATAATAAATGGGATCTGCTTTTATTATGGGTTGCTGTTTGTTAAAGGGTTTCTTTATTAAAAAAAAAAAAAAAAAAAAAAAAGAGAGAGAGACAAAAGCGAAAGGCAACGACTTGTTCAGGGTCATAAGGTGGAGAAAATGAATCCACAACATCGTTGGGAAAACGATGATGACAATGCGTGCATGCTCAGTGGAAATGCCGATGGCAGAGTCAGCATTCATGCATTAGTTTGTCAAACAATAAAAGTGGCATTGCCGACGGACTTCAGCAGTGTTCTTTGGATGGCTTCACAAATGGTTACCATGATTTTTGTGGGACACTGCCTTGGCGAGGATGGGTTGTCACAGTACAGTGCTGGGATTTTGGTATTTAACGTTACGGCCATGTCTATTGTTAGTGGTTTGAATTCGGCTATAGATACGATAAGTTCTCAGGCTTTTGGACGGAATCCACGATCTTCTGTGATTGGCGAAACACTGCAGCGTGCACTCATCGTTAATATGGTTTTGTGGATTATTATGAGCGTTGCCTTTCTTAACAGCAAACCCATTATGGTTTACGTTTTTGGAGAAGCCGTTGGAGATGGTGCTGCGAGGTTTTTGGGGATGTGCCCACTGTACTTATTGACACAGATTATTACTGGAATTATAAGCAAGACGCTATATGCTCAGTGTCTTTCTTCCCTCGTTGTTTATTCTAACGCCGCAGCGGCACTTACTTCTCCTGTAGCTAACTATTTTCTAATATTTATGGGAATTGAAGGAGCAGCTTTATCACAGGGGTTGACTGGAATGATGTGTGCTGTTACCGATGTGTTGCTTTGTCTTTTTCACCCTGAAGTTGTCGTCCGGGAGGCGCAGTGGCCTTCCCCGGCACTTTGTCATAAATCTGGCTGGATACATTTTTTTAAAGTTGGGATACCTTCTCTGATCGCAGTGTGTTCGGAGTGGTGGGCCTTTGAAGTGCAGGCATTATTTGCTATTTCTATTTCACCACTTGCGTTGGCAGTTTTTGGTGTGGCAATGAACATCATATCCGTGATGTTTTCAATAGCACTTGGGCTGAGTGTCTCAGCAAGTACCATTATTGGAAATTCGCTGGGGGGTCAACGACCTTTATTTGCATCACAGTACGCCAGGTTTATCTTGATCTGCGATGTGATGATTGGTATATGTACTGCAGTGGCTATGGGCTACTTTGGAGGACACATTGCACGTCTTTACACAAATGTTCCTGAGATGGCAAGCGCGGTGGAGTCTGTGATGCCATTTGTCATATTGTGTCATATTGGAGATTCTCTTCAGTATTGTTTACAAGGCGTTTTTCGTGGTGCTGGACGACAGGAGCAAGCGGCGCGTGGTGTGGTCTTTACATTATGGCTCGTCGGTTTACCAGCGTCAGCGCTTTACGTTTTTGTTTTCAATTGGGGCGTAAGAGGTGTGCTCGGTGGCCTTTTGACTGGATTTTGCTTTGAAATTCCGCTCTTGTATTACCTGATGTCTCAATGGGATTGGAGGGTTCTGGCACAGGAGGCTCAGGTTTTATCAGCCCTGCAAGAATTTGTTGTACTGGAGAGTGTTTTCCAGAACGACGAAAGTAGCGAGCACGACAGTGATGTTTCTGTAAAAAAGGAGGTTGAATTGGAGGCAGTTGTATACAATCGAACTGACTCACAGTATAAACTACGTTAACATGTTTTATGCTTTTACGTTTCTTTTTTTTTTTTTTTTCATATCCCTGTCGGGATTTATGTGCATTTGTATAGGAGTTTTTTGCTTTTTTTTTTTTTCTCAATATGTTTTTCGTTTATGGCCGTTTTTGATACAAATATAAATATATGCATATATACCCATATATATATGTGCGTGTGTTGCGATGGTCTATTTATTATTTTTAGTGGTTCCTTTTTTTTTTTTTTTTTTTTTTTTTTGAGCACTACTTAACTTCTACCAAAAAAAAAATTTTTACAGGGCGTACTTACATCTTGGGTTTCTTTTTACATTATTATTATTAGTCCTTATTGGAATGAATGAATTGATGTCATTTTTTCTTCCACTGTTGTGGGAGCACTGACGGTTTTTTTTTTTTTTTTTTTTAATTTTAACGATTCTTTTTTTTTGCCTTTTCCCCTTTGTCTCCCTTAGTTCCTTTTGATTTGTGCAACTGACAAGGCGTGGAGGGGGGGGGGAGCGTATTATCCGCAGCGATGGAGGAACGGGTCCGTCGTCCGCCCTCTGTTCTCACGAGTGAGGTTTACAACGAGGCAGAGACGATATTTACAATGCTTGAAAACAAGGAGAAGTTGGTTTCTTTTCTTGACTGCATGACTCTGTTGCGTGGTATGGGAATGAATCCTACTCAGAGCGACATGGACTATCTCCGCGAACGAATGGCAGACCCTGTTTTGCGCCTTGAACAATGGCGTCGTGAAGAGGAGCTTAGGCGGGAGAAGGAGCGTCGCCGCGAGGAACTTCGGGAAAAAAGAAAGTCTTCTTCGGCATACTCACAAAAGAAGCCGCGAAAGTCTGCCGTGGAGCGAGCTATGCAGGTAGGCGCTACGGAAGGTCAAGTGCCCCAACAGAATGTCAAAATTGTTCCCGTGGAAGAGATCAAAAACATTGATTGGAACATTTTTATATCATGTGCAGAGGAGATTTACCGTGATGCAGCAACCGAGCAGAAGGAAGTTTTGGGGGCGCTGAAAGTCTTTGATAAGGAGGGAGCAGGAGAAATGACAGTCGATGATTTAGTTCGGATTGCGACAACCAATGGCGAAACGGTGCTGAATCCCGGGGAGGTGCAACAACTGCGTGCAATAATTCCGCCGAAGTGCAGTCTTGTGGAATTGGCTGCGCGTCTTCAGGGTACATATATACCACCCACCAAGGAAGAGTTGGAACGGAAAGCATTGGAAGAGATTGAACGACGACGACAGCAGGAGGTATCGGAGAAGAGGTTTTCGGATGATGCGATGCTGTTGCCTTGAAATGTAGATGTACGTTTTTTTTTTTTTTTTTTATTATTATTTGTTTTTAACTATCTTTAAATATATATGAACGTATATATTTTTGTTTTTGTTTTTCGTTCGTGACTTGGAAAGCCTTACTACTTTTTCCGTACACTCTACTCCTATTACAAGTTGCATTACATTCTTTTTTTTTTTTTTTTTTGTTGTTGTTGTTCTGTGTATGGGCGCCGGGAGGTCAGTTGTGCGGCGTTTAAGAAACAAGTGCGATTATAATAAACACCGAAAATTGAAAAAAAAAAAAAAAAAAAGAAGAATAACAATGGAGAAGAATTTAATTATAAATGTGACCTGCAATCCACCTGTCATTTCTATTCTTGGCCCTGTGAAGGAAAGTACCATTGAGAAGCTCAATGATGTGCTTCCGGGTGCTTGCACCACGACGAACACTGGAAAAGTTCATTTTTCGTTTGTACGGAAGGAGGAGCCACCACATTGGTACGGTGAACTTCAGACCCATTTTGCCAGCGAAGATATTGGTCAGTCCCAACTTTTTGTTTCGTTACTCGATGCGGTGGAGGAGGAGGGTATGTGGAAGCTATGCGGCAGCAATGCGAACGTACATGATTATGACAAGGCCACGCACAAATTTTTTTTTGTTCGTGCGTAGTTATTTCATTGTGTTCCCTGCATTTTGATAATGAGAGATGTATAATGTCACCATTTGCCATAAATATTTTATTTCCTGAAAGACGGTGGCGGAAGGAATCAGAAAACAAGAAAAACGGTTATATATGTATATAGTGGAAATAAACGGTTTACGGGGTCAAATAGAGCGAGATCTCATGATGTCCCATTGGGCTACCTGTCACTCGTTTTTTTCTCTTTCTGTTTCTAATTTATGTGGACGACGAGGCTGTTTATTTTTCCTCTGTCTGGTTTTACCCATTTTTTTTTTTTTTTTTCCTTTTGATCACGGGCGTTTTATTGTTTGTTTTTCTTTTTTCTTTCTAATTATGATAGCTTTTGTTGGTTCATTCTGCGTGAGGGGTTCTTTTCCATGCGGGGAAGGGTTGTGCCAAATGAACGGTGAGGATGTACGCAACTATCCGGCTAGAGTGCTCCTGGCGCACGATGATCGCCTCGTGCAGTTTCTTGATGCTTCCATCTGCCAAGATTGGAATGCCGCCGTGGAGGAGTGGCAAATGAAAAAACAAGAAGAGATTGCGTTCCAAAAACAGGCGCGAATTCCCACATGCGTTGAAGTTCCCTCCACAATTAAAACAGGGTTGTTCAGTGATGAGGAATTCTTTTTGCTGACGAAGCAACTGGAAAATATCACGGCTGCTCTATCTGCTCATTCTGCAACAAAAGCGGGCGTTCATTATGGGGAAAATGAATTTGTATATTCACCAAATGAAGTTCCGGATTTGTTTTTACTGGATCCTGCAATGCACTTACTTCCTCTTGATGAGAAGAAGAGAAGGAAATGCCAGGAAGCGAGCGAGGCCTATCAAAGAGGAAGTTATGGCAAGGCTGCTGAGATATTCTCATCCGTAATTGACTCTTGTCTGCCAAATATGTTGAATGCCGCACTTATAAGTAACCGTGCCGCGTGCTACTTGCGTGTGGAGAATTACAAACTTTCACTTCGCGATGCGATACGTTCTTACGAAATGGATAATGAATATATACTTGGTGTTTGCCGTGCCTTAAGATCTCTCATATGCTGCGGTAGGGTTGCAGAAGCAAGACAAACTATCGAAAAATTTAGGCGAAACAAATACGGTTACAACTTTGAGCGCGAAATAACTGATATCTCCTTGTATGAGAAGTACGGTGCCTTTTTAGAGGGAAATGAACATTCGACAGCCTTAATGCATTTGAATGAGTTGCTGGAACGCGTTCCATGTGCCACTTTTGAAGTGCTAAAGGTCCAGCTTCTTGCCATTGAGGAAGGTAATGAGGTGGCTTTGACTCATGTAAATAACACCTTGCGCATCTACACGGACTTTCCAGAACTTTTGTATTGGCGCGCACAACTCTGCTTCGTTGAGAGTGCCAGCATGGCAGAACTAGAGGCTGTTATTCCCTTTTGTGGTGTAACTGGCTCTACTGATTCTACGGGACGCCTACGCCAAGTACTTCAGCGTGTTCAATATTGCGTTGATTTATGCAGGGAAATGGAGTCCTTGGTATCCAAGAGTGAATGGATGTGTCTCATTGAATTGTGTTCAAAATCCGTAAAGATCCTATTTATTGGTGATCGATTACGTGCAGGGATTTTGGCTAAACGTGCACGTGGATTTTATGAAATTAAGCATTATTATGAATGCATGGATGATATTGACGCTGCCATACGAAACATAACATCCGGTAATGTACGTGCGGAACTTCTGCTTCTTAAGGCTCTTTCTGAAGAAAAGCTTCTTCGATGGTCGGATGCGATTCGAAGTGCCGAACTAGCTATGAGGGAGCATCGTACCATCGAGACTGTCGAGGCTTGGAAGCGTCTCTGTGATCGAAAAAGGGAGTACGAGTGGCGAAAACAGCAAAAGCAGAGGTTCCATTTGGGATATCAAGACGGGGAGGAGGGAGAAGAGGGAAACGATTCAAAGGATGGAAGTGCTCCAGAGAGAAATGGCTTCCCCCGAACTCATGTATCGGGGTCAGGGGAAAATGAAAGACGAAAACGACACACGAGGGGACCGGACCATCATGTCGTCACGCAATTGTACGCACAATTGTCACTTCCCACAGGCGCGAGCGCGGAGCGAGTGAAAAAGAGCTACCGTGCCTTGGCAATGCGGTGGCATCCAGATAAGTGGTGCAGTGCGTCTGATCAACAGCGAAAGGAGGCTGAAGAAAAGTTTAAAATTTTAAAGGCAGCCTATGAAGAACTCATATGTATTGTTGGTGGTTAGCAACCCTTTTTGGCTCTTGCTTAATTTTGCGTTTATATTTATATTCTTGTTGTTGCTTGCTTTCTTCTTTTACTTGTTGTTTGAAATGAATCCGTGGTAGGGGCGGTGTAATTTTTTCTTGCTGTCGCCCTTTTCTATATATATATATATATATATATTTCCTCTTGACTCCTGTTGACGGATATGAAAAGTGTCTTTCATTGGCGGAGCAGAAGCTGCATCACAACAGTTGCCGTTCTTTTTTTTTTTTTTTCTACGGAGATAATTGCAGGTGTTTCAAAAAAAAAAAAAAAAATAAAAAATAAAAAAAAAATAAACAAAAGTACCCTGATACACTAGCAAGTTATCAACGCGATTTGGAAAAGGATGGGTCTCTTGACAACGGGCGGCGAACCTATGCGGTGGGGAACCGACGAAAATAACCGCGCCATTCCATATGTATCCTCGCATGGAATTCAACAGTTTTTGACAATGCGAGCGGGAACAAAAGAAGAGAAAATTTTCCCTTTTTATTGGGGAGAGGAGGTGGAACATCAACTTGTGCGTGTGGAGGGAGGGAAAGTAAAACTTTCATTGAATGCTGCTGATGTGATTGAACAACTTACAAAATCGTCTCAAAAGGATAATGCGGTGTGGCATCAGGAATATGGAAGCTTCATGGTGGAAAGTGTCCCTGGTGTACCGTACACCCTTGAAGTGGATTCTTTGTGCTCTGTTGAGGAGAATATTCGACGGAGATGTGAGCTGTTGGACAGTGTTGCTGGTGAAAACACATTCTCCTTGACATTAGTGACCTTTCCTCTTATGGGCGTTGGCGATTTTGTAACTTCTGATAGTAAAGAGGTTCCATATTCCCGCTCACTTTTTGTACCGGATGTTTGTATCAATCAGTCACATCCACGTTTTACGAATCTCACGCGGAATATTCGTCTGAGACGCGGTCACAAGGTATGCATTCAAGTTCCAATTTATATTGATACTTATACGATGGAGAAAACAGTAGATCCTCGACTGAATATAGACCGCACACCTTATAATATGGATATTGACTGCAGTTCGACAGAAGTTACAGAAGCCAAGGGAGAGAAATTCACTATTAATGATTCGGTAATCTCGAAAGAGGAAAACAACAACAGCAGCAATAATAATAATAATAAAGAAAGCAATATTAATTCAAAATATCCATCAGCAGAGGAAATGACCCATTTTTATACTCCTGCCACACATTATTACTATGCACAGTATTTTAAGAAGTCACAGATGGAACTTGTGAAGCAACGTTATGATGCATGTCCGTGCCCAGTACCTTCAGTAAGCCATCCATGTATCTACATGGATTGCATGGCTTTTGGTATGGGTTGCAATTGCTTGCAAGTCACTATGCAATTGGAAAATGAAACCCAGGCGCGTCACGTATACGATCAGTTAGGGGTTTTATGTCCATTGTTTCTCGCAATGAGTTCATCGACACCATTTCAAAAGGGTATTCTATGCGATTCGGACGTTCGCTGGCTAACGATTGCCGCCTCAGTTGACGACCGCAAAAGGGAGGAGGTTCCGCACATCATCAAATCACGCTATGACTCATTTTCGGTTTTTGTTAGCTTAACGTTGCCAAACTTGGAGGAGTTTAACGACGAGGAGTTTGTCATTAATAATAATTATCTTGAGGTTCTCAAAGATGCGGGCGTAGACACGCGTCTTGCGAAGCATGTTGCGCACCTTTTTATTCGAGACCCCCTGGTGGTCTACGATCAGATGATTGATATTGATGATACTACACACACTGAACATTTTGAGAACATTCAGAGCACAAACTGGCAGTCTGTTCGTCTTAAGCCACCTTCCCTTGATGGTAATACTGGCTGGCGTGTAGAATTTCGCATTATGGACGTGATGCCGACACCATTTGAAAATGCAGCCTTTTCTGTATTTGTTCCTTTGCTTGCCCGTGCTATTATCAAATACAATCCATTGTTTTACACCAAGATGAGCATTGTTGATGAAAACATGGGTTATGCGCACAATCGCAGTCCTTGCAGGCAAAAGTACGTTATGCGACGCGATATATTTGCTAAAAATATTTCTACTGATCCCTCTGAGAACAGTGAATTTACCGTTAATGAAGTCTTCAATGGAAAAGATGGGGAATATTATGGGTTGATTCCTCTTGTCCGACGATACATGGAGGAGGAAAACATGCTTAGTTCCACACTCGACGGTTACCTTTGCTTCCTTTCCATGCGAGCTGCAGGAGAAATTCCCACAGCAGCAGAATACTTGAGAAATTTTGTTATGCGGCATCCTGACTATAGGCATGATTCTAGATTAACGGAGCGGATTGCCTATGATTTGGTGCTGCATGTACGGAAACTTGCCTCTGGGGAAGTCAAAGACGATCTCTTTCTCCCCATGAACAAATTTATGCCAAAAAGATCCCGTGAGTAATTAGGAACCGATCACCTCTTCTTTCTCTCCTTCCCACTCAAAAGCACACCAACAGTTATTATTATTATTATTATTACTATTACTATTATTATTATTTATTTATTTATTTATTTATTTACGAGCGAGGAAATCTAGTGCCCCTTCTTTCGAATTAATGGGAAATTCAATTTATTTATTTATTTATTTTTTGTTATATCAGTTACAGGAATAGCTTAAGGAAATGAAGAAGTAAACACACAAATAATGATTTTTAGTGACCTTTTTTGTATTTTTTTTTTTTTGCCGCGCAGGGTTGGGCGGGTGAATTCTTCACGAAATTATTTCTGCTTCGAAATTGAGTTTACTTTGTGGGTGAAAATTTTTTTTTTTTTTTCGTGTGTGTGAGTGGGGGATTTTTTTTATGAATATTTTTATTATTATTTTTTTTTTAAGAAATCATCAGAAAATCAACTCTCAGGGCCCCAAAAAAAGGAAAGCAAACGAATGAGCCGCAGGAAAAAAGAAGAGAAGCATTTGACGGTAGCCAACAGAGTGCCAATTGATGGTACCAAGATTTTGTTTCTTGACTGCGACGGTGTTGTGTCCCCCTTTGGCGGGAAGATGTTTGCGCCTAAGCAAATGTCCCTGTTGCGAACTATTATTGCGGAAACAGGGGCCAAAATAGTCCTGAGCACCTCGTGGCGGATGTCGGAGTTTGGGCGGGAAGAAGTGGCAAGGCAACTGGCCACGAATAATATGCCGAAATATATTTCGTGCACGCCGTATTTTCATGACAAGTCTCGGGCGGTGGAAATATTATCGTGGATTGAGGCCAACAAGGAACGGTACAATATTGTAAACTTTGTCGCACTTGATGACATAAATTTACCGGCCACGGCGCCCAATCGAGCTTTTTTTGCCCGTCATGCTATTACCACAAATGCATTCACTGGTCTCACAGAGGCCGATGCCAAGGAAGCAATAAGACTTTTAGATGATAGCAATAACATTGTATGAACACCGAAATGCTGTAAAGTGGAACTCTATGGATTGCACTTTTTTGTTGATATTTATTCTATGTATATGATTAAACCGCCGTATTTGGATTGTTGTGCCTCAAAACTTTTATTTTCAGTGATATAAATTTTTGAACGAGGGGGGGCGCAAAGTCAGTGAACCTTTCACATTTTGACGTCAAGGCATTATCTTGTGTAATTGAGAGAATTGTCCAGCTCTTTGAAAATATTTGACGTCGGTATTTTCCTGCTTTATTGTGTAGGTACAATAACCATTTCTCCGTATGAAGAGACCTCCATGTGCGTTCAATTGTTTGTTGCTTTGTGGCATGCGGTATTTCTAGCTTTTTTAAAAAGTTTTTCTTTAAAAATTTTGTTTTTCTTGGAATTTTTTTTTTTTTTTTTTTGCGGTATGCATTTAAGTTGTGGGAGAGCAGTCTTCACTTTGCTCGATGTTGCTGTACAGGATTCTTTGGTCATTTCCCGTTTATTATTGATTTTTAAAATATTGGCTGCGTAAAAACTGCTGCAATCTGGAAAAGTCTCGTTTTTTTTTTTTTTTTTTTTTTTGGTTAATTTTTTTAGGGAAGCACTCCTCCGGAACTTTCTTTATTGAGGCGCACAGTGTTGTATATGGCTATTGAATTGGTTGTGGATGCCGCGTGCGAGCGCCTGTATGAGGTGATTAACATTGCACTGCGTAAAATGCTTTTGGATGCCAGGTGCTTACATGCCAGGGAGGATTACAATATCATTCCGAGTACGGTTTTTGTAAATAATGACAGCAAGACCTTTCTGCTTCTACTCCTCATTAAGTTTGACGATTGGATGTTGATGGTGCGTCACAATTGTGTTTGTAATTATTTGAAGGCCGTATACGATGCATCAAATTGTCCGGTGTATGTGGTAATACTTGGACAGTTAACAGGACATAGACAGTCGCGTTTTTGGGAAGAGGTTTCTTGCCTATGTGCTGATGATTCATTTTTTTCCATTTTAGTTGGATTTGACATTGTTTCTTCTGTTGAGCAATTAGCCGAGGTTGCTGTGGCCCATGGTCTCAAGGCAACCAAACAACAAAATTTGGAAGGAGATCCAATCGTTAGGGCGGAAGGAAGACGAAAATGCGATCCGACGGACTTTCACGCTCTTTATCTTGACATGCTTTTGGAGATATCATCTGTTTCCGAACGACGGGCTTCCACCATCGCCGGAACTTTTCCATCCATGTTCCATCTTTTAGAATTTATTGATTCGGGTGCGCACAATAGGGTTCAAGCAGAGGAGTACTATGAGAAGAGAGCTACTAGTGTGCTGGATCCCTACATTGCCGAGGTACTCTCTACAGACTACTACACGACGGAAGCGCAAGAGATGATGAACGGCTTGTTTGATGCGAGTGCGGGGATTTTCTCTTAGAGCCATATATATATATATATATCGTATTATTATTTTGTTTCATGGTATTTTTTTTCTGTGTGTATCACGCATAAAACTACATCCAGCTGCCATTTCAGTAGCGGCCTTACAATCGTCCCAACTGGAGTGTAGATTTTTATCTTCTTTATTTACTTTTTTGTCTCTTTTTTTCTTTCTCTTAATTTGGTATATACATGTAATATACATGTGCCTCTTTTCTATTTTGATGGTTAGTGGCGTTCTTCGGTAGAGTTTGAATGCGGCGATGGCCCATCATTGCGAAGAGAATCCTACCGAGACGCAAGATGCGGACGGATCTCTCATCGATGTCATCAATTGCGTTTGAAGAATGTTTTTTGCTTCAACACGAGTTATCCAGTGGGCCAAATCTTTTTTTTATTGGCGGTGATGGTTCATTTTTGACTCCTTCAAACTGTTATTATCCTTTTATCGTTGCTACGCTACATCAAAGTAAGTATTCTTCTGACACTGTGGAGTTTCTTTGGCCTTTATTGATATTGACGCTACACACTACCGATGTTTCTCTTAGTTTATCAGAGGCACATCTTTTTAGTGGTACTTCTGTTATGGGATACCATTGTGCTCGAAGTGTTGTTGATAGACTTAAAAGACTTTCTTCAACGATGTCTTTCCACGAGGATTTTACATGCATGCGGTTGGTGATGTCGCTTGTGGCTTCCCCTTTATGTTTGGATGACTCCCTTTTGGTTGAAATAAGAAATTTTCATCGCCCCATTCCGGGCTATATTTTGCGGTTGATATTGTCGTTGTCTGCCACCCCCTCCATTCTTGATTATATCATGGATTGCGAGTTGAGAAAATACTCTGGAAAAGGCATTGGTCCCGGTCCTTTTTTTGACTGCTTGAGTGGGCTCTTGTGCAATGATCATTTCTTTTCGTCTGTTCACTTCCAAGAAATGCATGCCATTGCGATGAATATCGTAAATAACATTGGTCCATCCTTTGACTTTTTATCAATTCAATGGACACCTTTACTGAGCAAGTTAAGTCGTGTTTATATGCGGCAATACGAAGGGGAGTCTCTTGCCATTTTGCACTTTAAACTTCTTGAAATGGTACCTGCTTTGGAAACTAAAATGCCACTGGCGTATCTTGTTAGAGTTTTAGGTAGCCTGGTCGACGTATGCGCAGAGAAGGAAGATACGCGTAGTCTGTGGCGCACAATAATTGACGTAGCATCCCTTGCTGTACGACTTCATGGCAACTCACAGGGAGGCCTTCAATCTATATGGAGGCCATTCTTTAAAGCGGCTGTGACGTCCAAACCAACTTATTTGAATTACGAACGAGTTCTCGAAGCTTATCATGTTTGTGCATTTCAAGGGAATCCATTAACATTGGATAGAGCGGCCTTTTCTCAGGTTGTTCGTTTTTTGGTTGGCTCTATAAACCATCTTTCTCTGGAGGAGACATCTGCTTCCATGCGTAATTTTTATTGTTTTTTGAAGGAGCATCCAAGTGTCAATTTTTTGTGGGTCTTGGACAGTCTTCTAAGCTTATTGAGTGAAATATGGAAAATTCATGGGGAAATTGCATCCGTTATTGTACAGGAATTTATTAAGGCCCTCCAAGATGATTATTTCCCTTCCATGCGTTTGAGTGGGGTGCAACTTTGTGATAATCCACAAATCCGTCCTTTGCTAGAAAAGTTTTGCGTTGTAAATAAGACGGAGTTTTGGTGGGAATGCGGTTGTGGAACGCAAATTCCGGCTTCTGCAAAAAAGTGTTTAATGTGCTTGCGAAAACGCAATGCGGCTTGGACCTGTGTTACATGTGGGGCGGAGTACAGAGGTACAGATGTAGAAAAGAGTTGTATATGCGGTTCAGAAAATCCACGACGACTCAAAGCAGCTAGCATGGGTCTTGAATTGTGTATGAACTGTGGTGATGTAGTATTATCTTCTAGTGGGTGCATCAAATGTGGGAATAAATATTGTGAGGAAATTGCATCAAGGGAGTGCTCTTTTTGTGGAAAATCATACAGTCAACGAGCAGTCTGTTGTCCGTTATGCTATGCGGCGAATGAAGACAAGAAACCCCTTTTATGGCGTTGTGATGAATGTGAGGAGTATAATCACTGGACATGGTCCAAATGCCAACGGTGTCCTGGAAGACGAAGAGTTGGCTGCATCGTTACACCACTGGAGCCGTGGGTATGTGGATGTCGTAGGCGAAATCATCCTTGCATCACTGGCTGTGAAACATGCTCCCGTGCCATTTATGGTGCATATACGTGCAATTTCTGCAAATCTGTCTCAATTAAACATTCAGTTTTCTATTTGACTCTACAATCCATAAAGATGCGTGTGATTGCGTGTCAACATTGTGGTCATATTCACCCACGGGATCAAAACGTTCTTTGCTCTCCATACCTTCAACGTCAATGTCATCAGTGCGGAAAAAAATACCTTCGATCGAATCTGCCTTTGGATAGCCACTGTGAGTTTTGTAATGCATTTCTTTGTTACAATGAACTGAATCCTTTTAAGTGTAATTCTTGTGAATCTAAAATCCTACAGACCGGCTTTCACTGTGTCTCTTGTTTGACCCCACGATCAGACTTACAGTTTGATGATGTTTACGTCTGGAAGTGCAGTCAAGAAATCTTGTCTCAGAGAGCGCTTGTAAGTTCCCATGTCTGCGGCCATTGGAATTATAGTTGGCTGAGTCAGTGTCGTTTTTGTGGTGGGGGGCGTGCGCAAAGTGTGTATGAGAGCAGAGTACGGTGTTCTTCATGGGTATGCACTGAATGTCTTCATCAGAATTTACCCACAGATGTTTTTTTCTGTTCACGATGTAACACAGGGCTTCAGTTGGTAGAGAACTGTTTCATTTGCGGTGTCCCTCACCTAAATTTGACATGTGCCCCAAATATTTTGGTTGATACATTATGAGGAAAAGTACACCACAATGTTATATATATATATAATCTGTGTTTTCTTTATTTTCTATAATTTATGATTATTAATTATTCGATTTTGGCGTTTTTTTTTGTTTTTTTTTGTTTGATGAGCTTTACGTATGTTAAATTATTATTTTTTTTTTTTTATATTTTATTGCATTTCCTTGTATTTTTGCTCGCCGAAAGTGACTATATATATATATATATATATATATAATATATAGGCTTTTATAGGCTTATATATATATATATATATATATATATATATATTATATCAAACAAGACCATGCAACCATTTGGTCAGCCACAGATAGTGCAGAATCGTGGGTATGGCGGCTACAATGCTTATAGCCATCCGGGCTATCCTTCTCAACAATTACATGCTCCTGCCCAGTACCATGCGCAAAGTGGTTATTATTCTCAGTATCCACAAGGAACGTATAACCCAACACTTTTTCAGAATTTCCAAGGCACCATTTCAGGTCAAGTAAATCGTGGAAGATCCGTCTACGCCGGGGGGCGTGGAGGTGGTGGCTATGGACGTGGTGCTTACACTATGGCCATGGGGGGTGATTACGGCCGAGGTGCGTTTGGAGTTCGCTCTCATCGAAAGAAGCCCTTTGTTGGTGGCTCATTGGAAACACAGCGTGAGTGGGAAAGACAAACAGTCTGCTGTTTTTTTCTGCAAGGTAACTGTAAATTTGTTGGTTCTTGTCGTTTTCTTCATGAAGACGATAGCAAACGTCCCTGCCAATTTGGAGCGCAGTGCCGGGTAGGACATGCACCGCGGGCAAAGAAGAGTAATGGCAATGCGGATGATGAAAACCCACCTTCTCACTTGGACGATTTTCAGCAATCAGCTGAGCAACAAGAACACAATGCTGCGGAACCCGCACAATAAACGGTTACTAGGTAATAAAAATTAACGTAGACACTGAACTAAGAGCAAAAAAAAAAAAAAAAAAAAAAAAAAAAAAGAGGACAGTGACGACACACACAAATGTTTTTTCTAAATAATTATTGAGGGGAAAAACGAATGTTTCTGTGTGTCCTACGTTAACTTTCGTTTTTTTTTTTTTTTTTTTTTATGTCTGTAAAATGCGAAAACAAAAAAAAGAAGTAACAATGAAAGCACATAAAAATAATATACATGTATATAGATGCATAAATTCATATATATATATATATATATATTTGGATTGTCATATTTTTCTTCTTTTTTTGCTGTACATGTGTCTCAATGTTTGCTTTAGTGCGGCCGCACACGGGCAGTTTGATTCGCGGATAGTTTTTTTCTTTTTTGATGTCATTTCGTGTTAGGCGCTAACGCGGAAACATTTGTCAAGCATCCACTCCCCACGACATGGTGCCTGATATTTTGGAGTTATTCAAGATGTAACGCCGGCACCACCGCCGTGGCACGCATGGGAAGTAAGATTTAACGCGGGACAGCGAAATATATTGTGCTGCACATTTGTCTGCTGCATTAGTTCTGTTGAGGAGGTTTCAATGTAGAAGAAGAGGGATCAACATTGCACGATTCCGTGGCTTGGAGGAGTTATTACCCCTTTTTTATTTTGTATGGTCTTTGGTTCCCACCCGTGTCTGCCCCGATTGTTTCCCCTGAGTGGAGCTGCGCCATGGCCATCCTTTTTTGCTGCTTGCAGGAGGAAAAACACATTGCGAGTGACGAAACCACACGTTATGCATGCGACGTCCAGGGAGGTACGTATTTGAGGTGGAGTGCACATATGTGGATGTCATGTGAGACGAAATGGGGGTTGACTGATCAACCGTCACTCCTTTTCTGGAGTATGTGCTTCTTTTTGTTGCTGCCCTTTTGTTTCGGGGCACGACGGGATTGGACAGCACCGTCCCACGAAAGGTCTTGCACACATACACACTCTGATGCCACTGTCGCCCTCGAATTCGGGTGCAAAACCCAAATTTCAGCTGCTTTCTGCATTGGCGCAATTACTTTTGTTTATTATTAACTGACGCCTTCCTGTCCGGCGTGTCACTTTGATTGGATTGTGTGGGGCTGATATCCAACGCCATTGGAGAAAGCAGGCCGACCTTTTCACGTGCTTAAATGCCGTCTTGAGTGCACTTATTTTTGCTTGTTCTGTTGATGTGCACTCAGACAACGAGTAATCTGGAACCATGCGTGCGTGGAATTCTTCCCGCCATTTGAACTGCGGACAACACCGAGGGGCTTCCACTTTTATTCCGCAGAGTTGTTGTGTCTTTTTGGGGTTGGCAGGGAGATTGCATGCAGCCTGCTACTGCTGGTGTGTCCCCAAATGTTGTCACTCCATGCGAATAATGTGCTTCAGCGAGTGAGGGTGTTGGTTGGGTTTGTGTGCACTCTTATTGTGTTTGCTGCTTTGTGCGGGCACGCAACACTTGAGTGGCGGTAAAATGGAGCGGGGCGATGCATGGCTACGTCTTGCCCATTGTTCACTGCACGATGGTGTGGTGCGCATTGCGGTGCTGACCCTGAGATGTGACTGCGGTCCCCTGTGCGGCAATGGCGGTGGGCGGAGGGTAGTGTTGACCTGCGGCGGGACGGTGGGATCGTGCCTCCTTTTCTCTTTGTTTTTTCCCTTTTGTGAAGGTGCGCACTTATTTTTGGTGTCGGTGATGGGGAAAACAGACCGACAACGTGAATAAAACAAAATATAAAAGGGCTATAATGTGGCGGTGTTGCGGCCGATTGCACGTTGCGTTGCTGCGGGGGCGGTGGGCCTTGACTGTTTCACCGACAGGCGTTGCAGTGCGGCTGCGTGTGAGCAGCACCGTGCTGAGGTCGTTGCACCCGGGCGGGTCGGCGGTGTACGTTGGCGGCGGTGTGGACCTGCTGTCGAGCGCGGTGGTGTTTGACGGCGTGTCGCTGGAGGCGTTGGGCGGTCCGACCGCGTCCGCGATGCATGTGGTGTCCTTGTCGCTTCTCAGTCTGCAGAGCCACTCGGTTTTCTCCATGACGAGCGTGTCGGTTGTGAGCAGTGGCGGCGGCCTTGTGCTTGGCGAGCGCCTCGCGGTGTCCGACTCAGTGCTGCGCTTAGTTGGAGTTGAGGGGTCTGTCGCGTCCTCGCTGGTGCGCTGTGAAGGTGGGATGGTCGGTGCCGGCGGGTGGCTGGAACTGCACGACGTGTGGGCGGTGGGCGAGGCGTCGTCGGTGGCGTCGCTGTTGGGTGTGACGCTGAGCGGCGGCGCCGTTTCGATTGTGCGCTGCGCTGCCACCGGCGCGACGCTTGTCTTCGGGCTGGCAGTCACGAGCGGCGTCGTGTCGGTGCAGTGCAACCATGCCGGCGGGCGGGTGTTGCAGAGCAGCGGCGACTACCGCATGGCCGGCCTGCCCTCCGTGAGCGTGGTGCCGTGCGACGGCTGTGCGGCTGCGCTGGCGTGCTTCGATGCGCTGACCGCGTCGTTCTCCGACTGCGTGTGCAGCTGCCGCGCTGGCGGTGTGGGCGAGGCGTGCCTGCCGTTCGACGTGCCGCCTGCGAGGTCCGGCGGCGGTGGTGGCGATGCTGCGGAGGGCTGCGTGAGTGGCGTGACGCTGACGGAGTCGGTGACGGTTGGCGGTGGGCGGGCGACGGCGTGCTTCGACTCGGTGGTGTTCAGCGGGCCGATCACTGTGACGGTGGACCTGCGCTCGATGGACGCGTTCGCTGACGCGCTGAACGTGACGCTGCGCCACTGCGTGCTTGCGGGCGGCGCGCAGCTGCGGGTTGGCGGCCTCAGAGAGAGCACGGCGCGCCTGATGCCCCACGCCATCGTCAACATGACGAACGTGACGTCGCTGGAGGGCACGATCGTGCTGCATGGCGCGATGCCGCCAAACTCGAGTGTGTTGCTGGCGAACTCAACGCTGCGCGCGACGGTTGGCGGGTCGCAGTACGTGCAGACTACCCGTGGCCACGAGAAATCCCGGTACGGCCCCGCGCTTGTCCTGGACGGCTTCCGACTTCTGTCGACGCGGTTTTTCATGACGCGGTCGACGCTGGTGTGTGGCGGGGGCTCGTGCGCTGCGATGCTTGTGGAGCGCGACCTTGGCGTGAACCTGTCCAGTGTCTTTTGCATGGACAACTGCGCTGTCAGGTCGCGGACGCACGTGATGTACGCTCTTGCGTCGGACCTGCGTGTCAGCGGCGGCTCCGTGTTCTCCGTAAAGAACAGCTCGTGGAGTGCACCGAGCAGAGAATACGACAAAGGCGCGTGTATGTTCAAGGATGTTGTTGTGGATGGCGGCAGCGTGCTGCAGATTGTGTCCAGCAATTTCCATCTTGGCTTCGCCATGCTCATGGCAAACACGCTGACTGTAACTGGCGGCAGCTGGCTGGTGCACCGCGACAACGAGTTCCGCACCGCCTACGTTGTGTACGTGGTCAAGGAAAACGGCTTGGCGTTCCGCGATCGGAGTGTGTGGTCGATACTTTACAACAACTTTACGTATGGCTCGTACTCGTCAACCATTGTACTTATGACAAGCAACTGGTCACCACCATCCGACTCTCGCCCGACCATCTACGGCGTGTGCAACGAGGCAAGGGGCTCAACTGTGACGAATTACCAGTACGACCTCAATATTGGAGCACCTGTGACGGTGTTGGACTGCGGTGCGTGCACGGTGGCAGCATCAGCTCTGTGGACTATCCTGATCCCAGTGTGCGTGGTCTGTGCTTCGTCAACGTGACCTTCACCGCCGCGATCGTGCTGGACCTGTCGTATTTTGACGCGCCACAGCAGACACTCAACATCACGCTGCTGCAGTGCGTCCACATGGGCCTATTGATCAGGGGGAGTGGTGCGCGCGTGCACGTGAACGTGACATCCTCGATGTTGGATTCTGGTGAGTTGGAGTTTAAGGGTGATTTTGGCGTGAGCTCCCAGATACTGGTGGCGGGCAGTACGCTTGTGACGATGTCGTCTTACGCCATTTTATTTGTGAAGGTTTTTCTTGGTGCGAACTCGACGCTGCTGCTGCTTGACAACTACATCGAGACGAGTAGGTACGCAGTCTATTTCTCCAGTGGTGTTGTTGATGGTGGCGGGGTCATTGTGAAGGGGAATACGCTGAGCACAACGGAGGAGGATCAGGGTGTGGAATCATCTGTTTATGCTCATGCTATTGATGTGAGGAACGGCGGCTACTTTGACGTTGAGAACACCACGATGAGTGCTGCTAATGGTGTTTATTTTTATGGGGATGCCACCGTGAGCACCGCGGGGCTGCTGCGAGTGGCGGACTGCACCTTTATTGGCAGCACGAAGGTTTCGACTTCTGCGCTGTCGTATTTGCATGGCTCGGTGACACTCGAGGGTGGTGCGCAGTGGCGTGTGGAGGGCAACAACGTGAGTGCAGCCTCGGTACTAAATATTCCTCATTTTCAGCACAAAATTCAGCTGTCGGGCAGCGGCACTACCGTGGCGCTTGCACACAACCGTCAGGTGGACTCGAGTGTTTCCTTCGCCAAATTTCTCCCATCGAGCATTGTCGTGACGTTACCCGCGCGGTTTGTCGTTGGGTGCAACCTGCAGGGCGAGAAGGAGGTGTCGTACGACGGTGTATTTCCTGGGGAAATGGTGGTGTTCAGGTGCGGCACATGCAACGAGGACGCGGCGTGCTACATGCCCGGGACGGAGTTGGTGGACCGCAGCTCGTGCTCGTGCAGCTGCAAGGACGGATGGCATGGCGCGTCGTGTCTTCCCCTCGAGGTGCCCGATACTGTTGTGCCGCCCGTAGCGGAGAGAGCCGTCGACGGCGACACGAGCTGCGTGGTGAACCAGACGCTGACGAGCCTCGCGCTGAACATGTGGAAGACGCACCACTGCTACATGGGTGTGACATTCAGCGGCGTGGGTGCCGTGCTGACGTTTTCCTTTGATAGTATGCCGCTG